AATAGTAATGTAAGTGGACCTTATACTTCTTAAATGCTCTATATAAGCAAGTGTATCATCCGTCGTATTGAAGGCTTTGGATTAATATTTACATCTAAAAGTTGTTTTTACTTCTGAAATTGTTATTACAAACTTCACATTTTTATTATATATCTCAGTTTAAGGTATAACATATGTATTTGAGATAGTATCAGACTCTTAAATGAGTAGCCACACTGGTTTATGTTTTATGTTATATCTATGTCTGGATCTCTAAGACGTGTTCCTCCTTGTTCTATTTTTTATTCAAATGGTCACTCAACTGGACTTTTGTAAATGTGAAATTTTAGATACTTTTTGGGTTTTAGAAGAACTGTGTAGATATAATAGTATGAATTACTTGCATTTTTATTTTTGTATGCTTATTTAAGTTTATTTTCTTCAAAGTATTCATATTATCTCAGGTGAAAATAGAGACCATTTTATTTTATTGTATATTTTGCCAGAATAATTTGTTAAATTTTCCTCAGGGTATTTTCAGATTATTAGATAATGCCAATCTGTGAGACATTGCTTAGATTTATAAATCTGTGTTTTTACCTCCTTCATTGATTTTAGAGAGAGAGAGAGAAAGAGGAAGGGAGAAGAGAGAGAGAGAAACATCAATGAGAGAAAACATCGATTGGCTGCCGCCTACATGCCCCCTACTGGGTATCAGGCCCCCAACCTGCGCATGTGCCCTGATCAGGAATCTAACTGGGGTGACCTCTTGGTGCATGGGTCGATGCTCCACCACTGAGCAACACTGGCCGGGCAAGTGTTTTAATGTAATAAGAAAAAAACCCTTACACATAGTGATGCCCTTAATAATTTTTGTCCTTTTTAATTTTGGAGTCAGTAGTGACTTGCTGAATGATTATAATGTTAATTCTTTGACTTGGTTAGAATATTTTAAATATTAGGATCACTATAGAGCCAACAGTTTAGCAAACTGAGTTTAGTAATTGGAGTAATTATTTACAAAATGATCCTTTCTCATCCATAGAGAATTTATGGGGGAGTCATGTCATTCAGAATTTCACTTGATGCATTTATTCATTGTACCTGTATGTACTGAGGGGTTCTTTTATGTATTGGACCCTTTCCCAGGGCTGATGTAACAGCAGTGGGAGAACAAAATTCCTGTTCTAAGGTAAGAGACAGCAAGCAGCCTTGGATTGGATATCTCTAACTTCTTGGTTCTCTGAGTCAGAATACCCTGGAGGGCTCATTAAAACACAGACTTTCTGGGCTCCACCTCAGAGTTCCTCATTCAGCAGGTCACAATGGGGGGGCTAAATAAAGTACATTTCTAAAAAGTTCCTAGGTGATACTGAGTTTAGGGACTTTATTTTGAGAACCTCTGTTCTAAAGTGTTACTCAAAAGAGGCAATATTTTTTGGTTGGTTGATTTTTGTTGGCATAATGACTATCCTGCTATATTGTGTGTTGTGGACAAAAAGGGGCCACATGCTAACCTGACAAGCTCAGGGAAGGGCTTGCATGGTGGTCTTGCAAACTCAAGAGACTTAAAGGATGGTCTGAAATTAAAACTTTTCAACTAAAGCAGTTTATGGCAGGTAGTTATGTTCTAGGCTAGAATCTTCGCTGACAAAAGTCAAACTAAGCCTGTCTATTATCTTTTGCATGTGTGATAAAATTTCTTTTGAATGTCAGGGTAACTCCCCCTTTTTCCAGAACCCTCAGGATATACAACCAATGTACCAGAACACAAATCCTCTCTCATTGTTATCGTTACCATGTTAATTGTTGACTGTTAACTATCCTGTACCCACTTATGTAAAAGATGTTATCTATCTACCCCAATCCCAGAGGTTTCTCCCACCTCCCTAATCTATCTACAGTGGATTTCACGTAACCACTTGCGCCTGCTTTTCTGATTGTAATGTATAAACTAATGTGCAAAACTGCCATTCTCTGGAGCATTGTCCCAACCTGTTGAGAATTTTCTTCCCGGCAGTTGCTCAAATAAACTCATATAATTTCGCCTTAGGTTTGAATGTTTCTTATGTTGGCATTGTCTATGATCCCTGGCTATTTATAGACACCCCCCCCCAAACACACACACACACACACACTGTTCCAGCTACTGCCACCTGACAAGCAGTGACAAATTTCATTATTTTTGACTAGGCATTATCCTTGCCATTGAGTGCTAAGTCTTATACATAATATGTCTTTTTGATGCCTTAAAAATTTTTTTTCTTTATTGGTTTTAGAGAAAGAGGAAGGGAGAGGGAGAGAGAGCCAGAAACATCGATGAGAGAGAACATTGATTGGCTGCCTCCTGTATGTACCCCACTGGGGATCAGGCCCACAACCTGGGCATGTGCCCCGGCTGGGAATTGAACCGTGACCTCTTGGTGCGTGAGTCGATGCCGAGCCACACCGGGCCAGGGTTTTTTGATGCCTTTTTGACCTAGGATTTTGTATTCATAAGACTATTTAATTCAAGTGAAGAGGTATTAGAAAAGTGCATTTTAAAAATTTTGTAAAGTGTTTTTGAATTTAACTGATTTTCAAATATCCATAGCAGTATGAAAAATGAATCACTATAATGATCCATATCTGTATTGGTATATTTGAACATGCTTATGCCTGCTGGGTGAAGGAGCTAGAAAACTGTCCTCGTCTTTGCCTATCATCCTGGAAAATATAAGTAGAATGACACCATTTTGATGGATTAAATATCAGCCTGACCCTTTTTGGTGTTAGCTTGTCTTTGCTTTTCTAGATTGAAGATGAATATTGAGTAAATGTGTTTTCTAAGACTTTGGGTATATTCATTAATTATAATTTTCTCTGCATTGCAGTTTTGTTTGTTAGTCACTTTAGAAAGTAATGCTGTCTGAGGAGTTCAATAAAGGGATCTTTATTAACCTATTTTTTAACTGAAGAATTCTCATGCAGGCTAATGAAAGTAAAACTTTGTTTCATGTACTTAAAAATGTATGTCAGATAGGTTCTTGATGCACTTGTTTTTCTGTTAAACTATTTATTCCAATTAAATTATTTTAACTCCTGTGACTACAGTTGAGTTATATCTCTATAGAAGTCAGTGTTTAACTTTATTTTTAGGCATGTGTGAATGCAGAAAAATATGATAAATTTTGCAAAAGGAAACTTTCCTGAGTTTGTTTCCCAGTTTATAATGATGTTTTCTCATTCAGATTATGGTTTCCCTATATTCACTGCTTCCCTATATATATATTTCTTTTAAAATAACAGTAAGACGAATATGTGAAGGTTTTGGAAAAAGACATACTCCAAATTTGGGGGGTGGGAAGTATAATATAGAAAATATGTATTCACATTCTTCTGTCTTGCAATAAATACCATGTGCTTTTATTTTAGGAAGAGTAAGTTTAATCTACATCCTAGTATTTGTGCTACAAGGGTTAGAGGTAAGGTAAACTAAGGTATAGTGGTTCATATTATGATCTAGACCTATGAGGTATTCCATAAGTTGATAAAATACAGATCTCATAATTTGGAGAACTTTGCAATTACTTGACCAATGTGGAAGAAAGTTACCTGTCACAATATGTTTCTAGTCATTCTTTTTTATATAGGTCATGTAAGTTATCATATACATACTAAATACAGAGGTGGACACAAGTAGGTTTACAGTTGTAATATGAATAAATAATATAAGAACAAATAATAATACAAGAATAAACTTTTGTGTACTCACAGCTGTAAACCTATTTTTGCCCACCCCTGTAGTTTAGCAACATTTGGAATACTCAGTACTGGTTTTCTACGATTGCTGTATATGACAGTTTCTTCCCGTCTGGACACTTAAATACAGCTATGCACAAAGTAGATCAACCGTCAGACCTTGTGGCACATGTGTTCTAGACCTAGAGGGACAAAGAGTGACGAAACAGTTGAAATGATGTCACAAGTGTAGAGAAAATGACAGTTCCTATTTTAGATAATGGGGCTAGAAAATGCCTTTCTGAGAAGATAAAGGGATAGCATCCTGTTTGATTTAGTGTCTGCTGGCAAAACGAAGCTGTGATGGTTAAGTAAGTGGATGCAGTATGTGCACTGTGGGAGCAGTGCTGTCCTGGGTGGTGGTCATGTGTGACTGTTGAATTTTAGGAATAGGACCAGTGCAACTGTAACTAACTAAAATTCAGCTATCAAGTGTTAAGCATACTTGGAACAGTGTGGGTGTGTGCATCTAAATCTAATGAACTCTGAATACACACAAGTATGGAAAAACATTTACCACTTGATGTACACAGAATTGCAAAGACTAAATTTAGTATGATGAAATGAATGTGAAATATCACCGATTTTTATATGATTACATACTGAAATATTTTGACTATTAGGTTAAATAAAATATGTATACTATTAAGCTGATTTCATCTGTTGCTTTTTTCCCTTCATTAACCTAGCTCCTAAGTAATTTAAAATTACATTTTCATTTTTCCGTTGGGCATTGCTGTCTAGAATAGTAATTTTGTTAAATTTTTATCTTTTCCTTACATGATTGTAATCCCAGAATCTCATTACATGGTCTGTAATTATGTAATTCAGTTATTGTTATCTTTTAAAATAAATAATTTGAAGTTGAACTTTAAAGTTTGTGAGTACATACCATTAGGTGTCAGGGTGAGACCAAATTTCCCGTGGTGGAATTTACTTGGTGCTTGTGCCGGAGTGCAGAGGCATGGAACACCCAGTACTCAGGAGATAAAGGGTACATATTGAGCATATATTTTATTCCTTTTACTTTTATTTATTTTCTTTGTGTTTATTATCTACTTGGTACTCTCTTCATAAAATATTTAAGCAAATATTGTAAGTCCTGAACAAATTTTGTCATTCAAGATTTCTCTTAAAACCTTTTTGTGAAGTTTTCATGTTTATTTGTGTACTCCATTCTAGAATGTCAGCTCTAAGAGAGCAGGGATCTTATTTATCAGTGATTTGTCCTCATTTTTTAGGAAGTCTTGATTAAATGTTTCTTCGGTGAATGAATGATACCAACTGTAGGACAGAGGATGTTTATTCATGAGTATCCAAAAATGAACAAAGTGTGGTGTCCCTGTACTCTTGACATTTGGAGTTTATTGGGTGTCTGAGAGCTACAGAAAACTGTTTGACTAGTTGGTAGTAATGGAAGGAATTGCAAATACTCTGAAAACCTAGAAGCAAATGTACACCTATGTTGGGAACACTTCATTCAGAGGATAACTTTTGAGCAGATCTTAAAAGGTGAGTATATACTTGCTAGTTACCATTTTGTTTGTTTTTTGAGGGAGAGAGTAAGGACGGTATGGTCAGAGGGCTAATTTGAACATGGGGGTGGGTAAGAATGGAGAAGGCAAGAAGCTTAGGTAAACTAAATTAAGTTTTGAGCTTTCTTTTTTATTTAGTTGACTAGGAGTCAGGACAGTTATTTTAAGTACAAGAGTAACTGGATCAGAAATAGAAAGCAGAGGGACCACAGAGAACTTTGATCTACTTTCCACCCCCTTACCCTATTACATGTTATTTCAAAGGATCTTTAGTGTTAGGTTTGCTCAGAGGCCGGGCAGGAGTAATTCATAAGGAGGGTGAATTTAACAGACTGGTTGGTGTGTAGGTGGGGAGAGGGAGATGCAGATCTCTGAGTCTGTGGTTTGAATGGTGGAGTGATAGTGATATCACTAACAGACAGGGACAGTAACTGTGTTCAAGATTGGGGATGGGGTGTTGGTGGCTGCCTGAGGGGGGTGGTTTTATATATTTTGGGTTTGAATATGTATGGTGGTTTGTTGAATTTTAAAAACTAGACAATCTGTCTGGTAACAGCATTCTCTCTCAGGGCATGACCATGTATTACTGAAGGTGACTGGTGCTCTGACTGGTCCTGCTTTCATTTTTGCTCTTGCAATTCATTCTCCCTGTAATATCTGCTTCATCCTTTTGAAACATGAATTAGATCCTTGTTCCTGTCCTTCAAATGCAGCTGCTTTCCCTTTGAATAAAAATCCAGCTACATATTTGGATACAGGGCTTTATTTGATCTGCTCTTGGTAGACCATTTCAGCCTCATCCACCTATCATTTCTTGCTCCTTAAATACTCAGGTAGTTCCTTTGTCTCCCCAGGTATTTTTGTAGATCTCTAAAGAGCTTTTCCTCAGTAGAAGGACACATCACCTCTTCTCATTCCTGTCACTTGGTCTGTATATGACATTTACTTGTTTTGCCTGCATTTTATTAACCTTTTATTGATGTTCTCAGTGTCACAACACATTGTTTGGCACATAGTATTTTTTTAAACAAGTCTGATGGAGAATCCAGGAGAAAAGTACAGAGTAATGGCACAGATTTAAGACTGGAGTTGTCACTATCAGTTGAAATGTATGGGTGAGAATCATAGATGGCTTATTCTTTCAATAAATAGTTATTGAGCATTTTTATTTAAACAGCTAGTTAGAGTTGCTCTCCATCTTTGAGCTTGGACTCCGGCAGGTGACAGGAGAAATTACGGGAAGCAATAATGAATTCTCAGACAACTGCATCTTTGTGACAGCAAGAAGAGCCAGCAAAGAATATGAGAAGCCCAGTTGTTAATAGAACTGGGAGAAGGTCTACTCCTACACATGTCTAAATAGAAATATGTCTAAAAAGAAAGTACTAAGAGAAACAGAATATGTAAAGGGAGTAATTTGGGATGATGAATGGAAGTTTAAACCTTTTTGTCTGAGGCTGGAGAGTGGATAAGTTGGTGGTATGGTGGAAGACAAGTTCTTAACAATTAGGACAATAATCTCAGGGTTTAAAAAAATTTTTTGACTTTAAAAAATTACAGTATATGTTTTGTGTATTGGCTATACTGGTACAGTGTTTGGTGTTGGAGGAACCCCAAGCAAGGATAGTAGTACTGGAGTACATTTAAAATAATTGCATGAAATATCCAAATTTTATAATTATCTTTAGGAAAATAGTTTTTTTCTAACAGTGTAAAATGAAGGCTGCTGGTTTTATAAGATTACATAGTTATTTTCTTCTATGTGGGTATACACTGAAGAGCTACTAGAAGCAGCAAAAGGGGAGGGCAGATGGACGATTAAGAGCAACTCATCAGGAAATGTTCAAAACGGGCTCTTGTTAAAATGCAGCAACTTTTCATTGATGTGGCTATCCATATACGCTTCTGTGTGATCATCATACACACTTCTACAGAAGCGACAGTAATCCTCTTATTAATTGAACTTTAAAATTGATGAAGTTGTTAAGGTGTTCAAGAGAAATAATTCAGTAAAACTTGTATTTTGTTATGAAGGGCACACATAATCCTCTTTGAGGCTTTGATAAATAAGTTGGCTATTGCATCTAAAAACATTGAAAAATTATTTTGCACAAATATTGGGATCATGAAAAGCATATAATGCTTAGTTTGAAGAAACTTTTCTCTTAGTTTTTTGTGTTAATAGTTCCAATTTGAGAGTGAATAGTTTTTCAAATACCCTAAGGAGTTCTTAAACATGACTGATTCCCTTCCACCTGTCCTGTTTTCACTTGCTTCTTTTAGTATAGTCTTTAAGTTTACATTTACTACTGTTCAATTGGATGGATTGTAGAGATTTTTAAAATTACCTGTAAAGTAGGCATTGTTAGCTTTTTAGGATTGCCTTTAAAATGATTATTGAAATGTTTCTAAGAGGACAGATTAAGATTTTCTTACATAGTGCTATTACTGAAGTTCCTGCGTTTTAGTTTTTCATTTGTTAAGTAAATTTAGTATGTTCTTGTAAGTATCCTAAGCTATATGTTTTATAGTGAATGTAAATTAATATGAGCAGGTCAGGAAGAAGCGTTGAGTGCCACCATGTTTTGAGGACCTTCAGAAACTATTTGTTTTGCCATGTCTTCTCTCCTTGATCTCAGAGCTGATGAAAAGTTGGGAGATAAGTGTATGATGCAATATTTGTAAAGGATTAAAAATTTTTCTAATTTAGATTATGTTACAGTTTAGGTAAATCAGCTTGTTACAGTAATATCATCTAACTTCATTTGGAGGATAAATGGAATCAAGTCAAGTTTGCCAAAGTTCTAATGTAACTTTTTTCTATATAGCTAATGCATAGTATGTGAAGTATAAATATATTTTAATACATTCATTTACTCGGACCATGGTGAAATTTTTATTAAAAGGGTGGAAAGAGGATTGGTTTTTAAGACCTTTAATTAACTGTATAAGTTTTTCATAAGTGTTTTTTGATTTTGGTTAATTCTCACCTGAGGATATTTTTCCATTGATTTTTAGAAAATGGGAGGGAGAAAGGCAGGGGGCGAGAAAAAAATATTGATGTGATAGAAATACATCGATTGGTTGCCTCCTGCACATGCCCCATCCAGGGCTAGGTATCAAACCTGCAACCCAAGTATGTGCCCTTGACTGGGAATCAAACCCAAGACCCTTCAGCGTGAGCACGACACTCTTAACACTGGCCAGGGCAGTTTTTCATGAATTTTTTACCCAGCTTCAACAAACCTCTATCATTTCCTTAATTTTCCATGTACTTCTTGTCCTGTTTATTTAGCTCCCCTCCTCACCACACCCCTCTGGAGGCCTGCCTTTTCTATGCTCCAATCTGGGTTGTTGCTGTCTAGAATAACAGCAGCAAAAACAAAACCCTTTCATATTCCAGTCCTCTTCTGGACTGTATATGCTCTTGGCTGGGCTGTCATTAACTAAACACTTGGATTCATTTTTGACAGTTAACTATAATTCTTTCTTGTTTGTCCTTTATAGTTATTTTGCATGGTACGTAAGTGCACGCATACACAGTACCATGGGTGCCAGTACTACAATGAGTTTTGTTTTAAGAGCACTTTTATATTGTTAAAAGTATTAAAATGCTAATTTAATGTACATGCTTTGTTGCTGTCACATGATACTTGGATATATACTAACACTGTATTTGGTCAATAAAACATTTTAAAAACAAAATTTAAAGGGCCCATGAATTGTAAAGGATTATATCATTGTCATATTTGGAAATAGCATAGGTTAGTGTATACCAGAAGTAGTCGTAGGTTATAAATGACTAGTTCTATAATAGATATGAGTGACATGAAATACGAGTTCCATTCCAAAGTATTTGCTTCATTTACTAAAGCAGCCATTGTGGGTTATGCACAAGGGTGCTTTTGTTCTTTTTTTCTGGTTTTTAATCCTCATTCGAGGACATTTTTGCATTTATCTTCGGCTAGAGTGGGAAGGGAAAAGAGAGAGAGAAACATCAACGTGAGAGAGACACAGAGTGGTTGCCACCCACACGACCCCAACGGGGGCCAGGGACAAACTACAACCGAGGTACGTGCCCTTAGCAGGAACCGAACCCGGGACTCCAGTCTGCAGGCCAATGCTCTAACCGCTGAGCCAAACTGGCCAGGGCATGGTGCTTTTGTTCTTAAGCAACTCCACACTCAGAGGTATAGGTGAGACTATGGCACAGCAATTACAATACATTGTAACAAAGGCCCAAGGGAAAACCAAAGGACATTAACATCAATAGGGGTAGCACCTTTTAATAATCAATTTATCTTGCACCATATTTGCAAGAAAGCACACGGGAATACAAAATAAATTTTGGATTCCTGTTACTAAGAGTGCATCTTGTGTGGTTGGCTTATTAGAGCAGCATGCAGTGGTTTATCTAGTACCCATGACCCATTTGAAAGAAATCACCAGCTATGTGTACAGCTCAGCAGTGCTGGGTAAACTTGGTGACTTGACACATGAAACCTGTTGTCCAAAATTGAGTGTTACTGGGAGTTTGGAGAAGAGAAGTGGATATAAGATAAACTAATTGGGAAAGATTTGCATAGGATGAGTGAGAATTGTTGTTGCTGAGAGATGGAGAGGGTTAGAGGGCTTTTTAGAACAAAAGGGAGAATACCTAAATGAACGAATCATCTTTCATGATGAGTTATATCTTGTTTTGGTAGGAGGCACTATCACAGAGGACCAGTTATGAATGAAGGTAAAGGTGCTCGAAGCTGGTAGTCAGTCACCTGAGATGAGGTTGACAAAGGGTTCAGATCTTATTCCATGATAATGAGTCACCTGGAGTTTTTTGGCAGGAGAGTGATTGTGTTTCAGAAAGGTTAACTAGGTTGTGGGAAGGATGCATTTGTAGTAAGTCAGACTGGAGAAAGGGGAAGCAGTTGATATGTGGTGGCAGGATTGAAAAGGAAAAATGGAAATCAAGACATACTG